CCCCCTCCACAAATACTTACCTTGATTTCATTGTGTCACCCAGCTGTGATTCCATTGCTATGCGCGCTGTGAAGTCCGGTGTTATGTCGTTGGTTAAGCCATCATGCTGAGCTGCCGTGGCCGCCGCCACAGCCATCGCTGCACGGCTGCGACCTGCGTTGCCCTTGCTACTGCGACTGCCTGCAGCAGCCAATGCATTGACATTTGTTATCGTCGCTGTCACGTCAACTTCCACCTCATTGTTTGCTAGCGATGATGGCTGGCGCTTATGCAGCGTTGCTCCTTCGGCGTAGGCGTTCACGCGTCCATTGTTGTCGTTGCTCTCTACCTTCTCGGCATCATCAGCATTAGCATCGGCATGAGCAACATTATTATCAGCCTCGTCGTCGTCGTCGTCGTCATCGTCGAGTTCGAAGGGCGTGATTATATGGTCGCCGCGATACCAATAAATCGGTCCAATATCACGAATGCTCGGCTGTTGCACATGACAGATAAGTATAATTGGGCTGCCGACTTTGAAATGCAGATCGGCTGGGCCGCTGATGATGGCCCGTGAATCGGCGGGTATTTCTACGGAGACAAAAGAGACAGAGAGGAGAAATAAAGTAATGAAGAGATAGTCCATAGACACAATTGCAAAAATAAAATAAATGACACAAAAAAATATATAAAAAAAAGCATGTATGTATAATGATAATAAAAATGTATGCAGCGTATGTCAGGAATGTCAGCAGTGCAAGCGTGTGATTGCGAGAATTAAAATTTATGCAGACAATGAGCATAAAATATGCGCTGTCGTTGAGGAATATGTATATATGTATTTTTTTTAAGTTACAATATATGTCCAAGCTGTGTGGAGCTGCCGATACAAACATATATTCAGGCTTATAAGCCTGTAATTATACATTTTTCTACATTAAATTTGAAATAGTATGCACCAACGGATTAAAGGTAGTAAATAATTAATACCTTTTCTAGTACTTTAAAATGCGTGACCGGAATAGACCTGCCGAAAAAGTGAGGTTAAGTTACTGACAACACCTTGGTATATATGTATGTACAAAAATCAAAGGAAAATAAAAAATAAGTGAAATATTAAAGAGTAAATTTACAAATAAATATTAAAACATAAATAAGCCTGGAAGTTTTCAACAGAAAAATTGTGATAAAAACACATTGGAGATAATAAAAGTCAAATATTGAGTAAGGAGAAAACGTTTATTTTCTGAAATACATTTATATATGTATTTGCAGTAAATAAATCAGATAATATAAATATTTGAGCAGTATGAAGACATATGTAATGGAAAATAACCTAAACTATTAGTTACTAACGAGATTCGGCCGGAAGTCTAGTTTTTATGGCTCTTAAAATATGTTTTCAAACTTGACCACCGCCAGATAAAAAAAAGTAAGTGCGCCTGGGCCACACTGGAGAAGTGAAATTTACGTTATATATGTATCTATTTTGTCTCATAACCAATATATGTACATCTGCTTTTGCATAACGTTATATTTCTTGTCTTTTCTCTATTTAGTAGTTAGAATCATAAGGGTCTAAGTAACATTTTTTGAAAATATAAGTTATACCTATATTTGTATAGTTACCTAAATATAGTGTTTATGTGGTGACAAACAGTAACATTCATTCATATTTGTTAATTAACCTGCATTCATTTAGACAAGAATCATTTCAAATGCATTTACCCAGAATTTAAAATAAGTAATCAACTTTAACCTTATTATCTCAAAAAAATTTCTGAATTACTTAGTTCCTTTTGATTCTAACCCCTTCATTTATGTTATTCTGTTTTCCTTTATCTTCATATTTATCTTTATACTCTATCGATAGTAAACCCAATAAAATATCGATAACAAAACCGATAGAAATATCGATAACAAAATCGATGACAAATTCGATAAAAAATTTCCACAGCAAAATCGATAATAATATTGGTAGCAAAATCGACAAAAATATCGATAAAAATCTCGATAACAAAATCGATAAAAATACTGATAACAAAATCAATAAAAATAGCGATAACAAAATCGATAAATATATCTGTAAAAAAATCGATAGATAATCGATAACAAAATCGATAACAGTATCGATAACAATATGGATAAAAATATCGATAAAAATTCGATAAAAATATCGATAACAAGATCTATGACAATATCTATAACAAAACCAATAACAATATCGATAAAAAATATCGGTAACAAAGTCGTTCAAAATATTGATTAAAAAATCGATAACAAAATCGATTAAAATATCGATTATTACATCGATAAGTTCCGAAGATATCGATAGCAAAATCGATAAAAATATCGATAACAAAATCGATAAAAAAAACCGATAAAAATATCGGTTATAACATCGATAAGTCCCGAGAATGCAGAAACCTCTAAAATCCCAAAATTATTCACAGGTTGTGTCACTATATCTCCATCTATATCCTTTTCTCTATAATTACATTTGTTTTAATCTTTCTTCCTCTATCTTCATCTTTACTTTTATCAGTATCCTCAACCTCATTTTTTCTTTATATTTATCTTTGTTTTTACTTTTATGTTTATAATTTTCTTCATCTACATATTCCCCTTCACCTTTGCCCTTATGTATACAAGTAAAGTGTTTAAATTTACCTTGGTCTTTATTTTTGCCTTTATCTTTACGCATCTTTGTTTTTGTTTTTATTTTTACCTATGCCTTTATCCTTTTCTTTATCTTTTTGGCTTTCATTTTTGTATTGGTCTTTTTCTAAATATTGTTCTTTAACCTTTTATTAGCAAGTTTTTTAAATTAATAACATGTGCATACACTCAAGAAGCCCTTGCTTCAGTCCCAACCATTTCCGTTGCACCATTTCCGTGTGCAATTTCCATTGAATCTGCCAATTTACTCCCAACCAACCAACCGGCGCTAAAGAAGTTTCACTTCAATAAAGCCAGCTGTGTGATAGATCACGTCTTGAATTTTGAATGGTACACGCCAAGTAAAATAGCGTCGTCCAACTTACGTAGATTCTGAACACACCATGGTTGGAGAATTTTTCGATCGAATGTTTTCAAAATAGCTCTATAAAGGTGGTTTGATAGAGGTATTTAAAAAAGGGACCGAGATCGAAACTAAAAGTAGTTATTGTAGTTTTGTTCCCAAGAACGCTCAAAAACCCAAACCCAAATGAGAACAAAGTCTTTGGGATTTTTTCACAAGAACAATGGTGTCGAGCATGTTCTCAGCGGGAGTTATATAAGGAAAAAAAACCCTGCGGAACGTTCCCAAAGCGAACAATCAGCGAACAATACTTTCAGGAATATTTCTAAGAGAACAAAATGGGAACAAAAGTCTAAAGAACTTTCTCTCGAAGAACAATTTGGGAAATAAAGAAGCAAAATTGTTATGAAAGCGAGGAAATTTTTTTAATGGTGCTGCATTAGTTTGAAATATTTGAAGATTAAAATAAATGAAAAAGGAATTGAAAGATAACACTGTCCTCGAGTACGCTGGTCTCGGTAAACACAGTCCTTTTTCTGGTTTGGCTCTAGTTTTAGAGTTATTCGCGTTTGAAGTTTTCACCAAAACACCTATCTATACTAATTATATAAAGAGAAGTCGAACGGCTGGTCCGATTTTCATGAAATTTTGTGTACAAATAGCTTTCGGTAACCACCATGTTTTAGGCTAAACAAATTTTACTATTTTTCGGGTAGGTGGACCAGGGACCGGTCTATTCGAAAAATCTTATTATGGTCCGATTTGCTTAAAATTTAGTACGTAAGTAGCTTTTTAGCATATATTAGCATATATGACCCATTTTTTCCGGGAAGTGGTCCAGGGACCGATCTATTCGAAAAAAATTAGGGTCCGATTTGCTTAAAATTCGGTGCGCAGGTAGCTTTTTAGCATGTATTAGCATATATGATCAATTTTTTCCGAGAAGTGGACCAGGGACCGATCTATTCCAAAAAATCACATTTATGGTCCGATTTGCTTAAAATTCGGTACGTCAGTAGTTTTTTAGCATATATTAGGATACATGGTCCATTTTTCCGAGAAGTGGACCAGGGACTGATCTATTCGAAAAAATCGTATTTACGGTCCGATTTGCTTAAAATCCGGTACGTAGATAGCTTTTTAGCATATATTAGCATATATGATCCATTTTGTCCGAGAAGTGGACCAGGGACCGATCTGTTCAAAGTAATCGTATTTATGGTCCGATTTGCTTAAAATTCGGTACGTAGGTAGCTTTTTTCCCGGATAAGGTTATAGATTCCTGTTTTCCAATTTTCATGCAATTCGAATATAAATAGCTTTAAGTAACGACCATATCAAGGGGCGAATTCGTCACTAGGCAAGATTTTTTTGCGCCAATCAGAAGCAACGGATACTGTCAAATTATAATTATAGTATATATCTCAACTAATATATATTTAGAAATCTGTTTGTTAGTTTTCGCAAGGCTCGAGAGCGGCTGAACCGATTTTTTTGAAACTGCCACCTGCCCCACGTGCCCCAAGGATGGTTTTAGGCTGAAAAAAATCTATATGTAAAGGGGGCGTGGCACTTCCCATACAAACCGAATTTCTCATGCTACATATCTCTGAAAGTGTGCATGGTAGAGTTTTTGAAATTGGTATGGAGATACACGAAATCAATTGCATACCCTTGGAGAAAAATTTTAGCTATTGTAAAAAGGGGTGTGACATCTCCCATACAAACCGAATTTTTCATACTGCTTACCTCTGGAAATTTTTTGGTAGAGTTCTAGAGTTTTGTGTGGAGATGTACGAAATAAATCGCATACTCTTGGAGAAAAATTGGAAAAGGGGGCGTGGCATCTTCCATACAAACCGAATTTTTCATACTGCCTATCTTTGGAAGTGTTCATGGTAGAGTTCTGGAACTTGGTATGGAGATATACGAAATCAATCGCATACTCATGAAGAAAGAGGGCAGCTGTTGGAAATCGAATCGAATTTTTATACTGCATATTTCTGAAAGTATTCATGGTACAGTACCGGAACTTCGTATGGAGATATGTATATAGTTGAAATCAAGCCCATACTCATGGAGAAAATTTGGGTTATTTGAAAAGGGGTGTGAGGCCTACAAACGTACCGACCTTTAGCTATCTTTGAATGAATTTTTTTATTCTTCTGTAGGTGTGTTTGTGAGTGAAATCCTCCTAAATGGTTGTACGGATTTTAACGAAACTTTTTGTGTATTTGAGTGGGTCTCTGGTTGGTTTAGTTTCACAATTTAATCCGACAGTTGGCGCTGTAGTTGAGTTATTACTAAAAATCTTATTTATGATCCGATTGCTGAAATGACCACCAAACCTTAATCTTAGCAGACAAATATGCCAACGAAAATAGTAAACGTGAATTGTTGGTGAAAATGTTGGACCAAAAAGTTTCAATAAAATATATAAAAATTTTGGGCGGGACGAAGTTCGCCGGGTCTGCTAGTGTTTCTATATACATATATCAAAATGTTATGTTCGTTTGTACGAGGCTTTAAAACTCGAGAATGGCTGACTATTAAAAAAAAAAAAAAAAAG